GGTAACGTGCGAAATTTTGCAAGATCTCGAGGGGAACCCCGGCGATTGGCTCATCCGCCTGGCCAGTGAAAGCAAAAAGTTTTCCAAGCCTTAGTACCTATCGAATTAGTAGAAGACGGGATTAGTAAACACACCGTGGAGATCGACGTTAAACCGAAGAGAGAGACGTCCGTTTCAGGTGCGCGATTACACGGTCTTTCGTAATCGAGTTGGGAAAGTATCATTAATGCATAAATCTCCCCTTAATCTCAATACTCTCGTTTACGTTTAAGAGGCCGAGAGAGACCGCTAATGTCTGCCGGCTTACATCCCACGGATATGCTTAGTGCATAGGAAAATGAAATCGAAGTAATCGCGTGTACAGTTCGAGGCGCGCTGCGATAATCTCGTTTAGCTGCGGTAAGTATGTTATTGGAAGTCGACGTTGCACCGATCTAGAAAGGGATAGTTCGCCGCTCCTTTCTAAATCATACAACTCAAGCTTATGAACGCGAACAGTCGAAAAAGTATCTCGTGGACACGATAAGCGGCGTCAGTCAATATTTGGACACAGCCACGGCTTTAATGAAACGTCCTAATGTTGTTTATCACTCCTGATAACTATATGTGATGAGCAAATTGCACGGGAATAACGATTTTGCTGAAGTATCTAAAAATTTAGTTAGATACAGATCTGAACATTTTTGTTGGACCGTCAAAATGATTACGTAGGAATTTCAAGCGTGATGAGTAAGGCTAATATTTCATTTGTTCTACGACAAACTTTTTAAATATATTAATTATTAGCTACAAAATAGAGAAATTCTCGAGTCTAAAGTCTCTACCTTGTACCTTTTAGCTAATCAATATCACTTGAAAAATTGTCATAAAAATAGAATATTACTCTCTAAATTTTTTGGAGCGGAATATCGCTCTAAGGAGTGAAAATTGAACTAGTCTTGAAAATTAAAGTTTGAACTAAATTAAATCGTAGTTTGAGAAGCGTTTTTCAAATGAAAGACTGATTCAAACCTTGCTTAAATCGGATCTCAGGTTGTCATGACTATGAATACGACCCTAAAAGTGAGATTTCATTCTTCAGAGTGATAATTTACTCTAAGCTTAACCTGATTCACTCAATGAGCTTCACCCATGACATCATCATAAATCCTTTTAGATAAAGCATCAAGTTAAGTCTAACCATAGTTAACCAGAAAATGAAAAACTGGGTCTAAAAATTTCAGAGAATAGTCTAATGCTTCAAAAAGTTTTGAGCAGCCAGCTTGTGAGCATTCTACATAAATATTTTTAATTGTTTAACAATTTGTGATTTATACTTTATATAATATTCAACTTCAGTTTACTATGTATTAAATAATCGCGCAGTTTGCTTGAATTGGAAGTTGTAAAATTCCATGATGTCCAACGGTCCTTGAATATCCTTGAATCTTGGAATTATACTGGAATTTTATGTATTTTGGAAAATTCCTCGAAAACCCTTGAAATTTGAAGGCTGGCCTGAAATTTATTATTCTTTCTTTCTAAAAAAAAGTCAGAGCGTGAAAAAAAGAAATAAAAGGAAAATTTGTGTTTGGGCATAAATTCTTCCTTAAAGGTGCAATAAGTTACCAATAGAAAACTTGAATTCAATGTCTAAAATAGAACATAGTAAAAAAATCATTTGTATTGACCGAACGTTCGTTTGATATTATTTATAAGGCAATAAATAATATTGTTCCCAATTTGTTAGCGTTTTAATTCATCCGTATAGAATCCTAACTTGAATGCAAAGCGTATAACATTGCACGGATCGATGAAACTAATCAAATAATGAAAATTAATCGATGCATAAATCTTGAAAAAACCAGGATTTTTTCCTGGAATGTCCTGGCTAGCCAGATTTTGCTGGACACCATGAATTCACACAAAGATACTAGGCGTCAAGATTCACTTTGACCAAATATAGTCTTCTCCGCTTACTTGTGTTGAACATTTCTTAATCGATTTTTACTTAACATAATTATTTTAAAGGTCAAATAGAATTATAATATTTTCAAATCGGTATCTAGTTAAATTTTTAGACGTTTCAGTAAAACCATTTTTTCCGTGTGAGAATGAAAGAAAAGAGAGCAAGGAAGAGGGCGGGCATGCGGAGTAAGTTTTTACAGCGTTCACGTTTTTGGTCAAAAACATGCGAATGGCACGTCTCGAAAAATAATGCTTGTCTAAAGAACGTTTTTTGAACACTACCGGTGCCGTGAGTCACCGTACGTGAGACTCTCCGTGAAAACTATGTGCGTTCGTCGCCTCGACGCGACGTGACATGATCGCGACCTCAACAACAAGACTTTTTCGCGCCAATTCTGCGCGGCCACGTGCGTACGATGCCACGCGTTGTACGTCGATGCGACGTGCGCACAGACACGTCATTGTGCATGCCAGTCGCTCTGTCCCATTTAAGTGATACATATATCATACATTAATCCATCGAGAACGGTGTCGTGACCGATGGAAATAAATGATTTCAGTAGCGTGTCGCCTTCGAATTAGCTGTGAGATTTAGCTGTGAAGTTAAAAGCTTCATCGTGCGCGTATCAAAACTGTTTTCAAATCAACGCTTTTAGCAGAACACAGAATAAAAAGACTTCCGTCACATGCTAAAAAAAAGATGAAATTATTTATTAAATCGCAAACATATCCTTCGTTGCATAAAATTTTCAGTTGTGATTTCTCAGGTTTTTTTTTATAATTCAAACTATTTGTATGTATCTGACGTTTCCTGTCTATGAATTATCGTTCGATAATGAGAGCGACTATTAGAAGATTCTTTCGTAGAAGCAGGAGTCGTATACAAATTTGCTAAAAATGACGGGTAACACAAAATCCAATATCTGCTTTCCTATTTACAAAGATAGAAGCATTAATTCGCCCCTAGCGAGCGGTATTAAGGGGTAACGAGCAGCCTGCGCTGGGGAAATTAAGGGATGAAGGAATGGAGGGAGATCGGGAGCAAGACAGGAAAGAGAGAGGGGTAAATTTTCAAACGGGGTAACGGGGATAGGGGAGTGTTTAGGGTGCCACCCTGACGAACCTGGGCGCGGCATTGGTGCATGGTGTGTGCGGGGTGCGCACTCTTGCAGCTCGCAAATACTGGCCGGCGGTCTGGGGAGGGGGGGAAGGATACGACAAGGGTGGTTGTCAGGGGGATAGGGTGAAGATACCGGGGAATGGAAAGGGGACAGGAGGGTTGGACGTATCAGATCGATACTCGGCGAAAAGCGCGGGCCGAACGGAGACGGCGCGGTTGTGTGTATCTACGGTTGGTCCATCGTGAGATCCGGATGTTGCGACTACGCACAATCTACGCGGTGGAATATTCGAATCGATGCCGACTGGATACTCTTCTCTACTCGTACGTGATGAGATAAAGAATCTGTTCGTTCCAGATGCGCTGTATCGCGCTCGAAATGAGATAAATACGTAGGCGTGTGACTTGGAGGACTTCACGTGACAAATCTTATTACAATTTACGCACAAAGTGTTTCTCTGAGCGAACGACTTTGTGCGTAAATTTTAATAAGATTTGTCACGTTGATTTCTCTTCGAACTGAAATCCTTTTTATACTCGCTTATTTCAGCGGCGTTTCCGCTGTCAGAGCTCGTCGATTGTCCGTTATTAGTTTTTAATGAGAGATAATCATGGAAAGACACATGGAGGATGGAAGGGAAAAAAAAGAACTATGGAGACGAGTGTAGAGGAAGGTGGCTCTACTACGAAGCCTGCATATAGTAAGCCAACTGTAGTACTATGAGTTAGTCACACCCACAAGCCGGTTGTGGGTTCAAGATCCTCGTACGCTCTTTCTCTCTCCTCTACTCATGTATACTTATACACACTCATGCAGCAGCCTGCGCGTGTAATTGTAATTGTACGCGAGGCATACGCGAGGTTCTCGCGTACGTAGGGAATCTATCGTCTTTGCCTAGCGTAGTGAGATACAAGCCGCCGATTCTAGGTATTCGCTATATTTGCAACTCACGACGTTGATAAAGACGTGAGATAACGTGGGAATTTTTTAAACGTACAGTCAGACGTAATTGCGAAGATTCTTGTACAATCAGAGACGAATATATATACACACCGAGCTTCTTATAAATTGACAATTCATAATACGTTCTCATATTTTTTTTTTTATTAAAACACAACAAAGAGGCCTGATTTATGGATTGAGAATGATTTATGAATTGAGAGATACGAAGGTTGATCCTTGAATCACCTCGATCGGCGGATAAGCGCGGTATTTCGAGGAACAGACCTGCTTTCATTCGACGAACTCTCTCGGGAACTCTCACGTGCTCGCGTGAGCTATTATTCCTCAACAGAGCGATTCGTGGTGCCGTAGACATCGATCTTAGATGCCTTTAACGGAGAAGCATTCTGTGAAAAAAATGATCGATCCATGAGATGCATGTTGATCCGAAATACGTTGTCGTTAAAAAAAAACACGCACGATCATTGAGATGTACATATAAGAGTTCCACAATGGCTGGAAGAAAATGATGGAAAATTTTCAGATATGCAGTCGCTGTAGCATAAAATTGCGTAGATGATGCCTGCAAACACATAATACAGTCGGAGAGATGATGCAACAAAATATAATGAAACATAAATGGATATAATAAAATACAACATATATAAAAATTCTGTGAGAGACAATATCGTTTTATAACTCTCTCTCTCTCTCTATAATATATATATACCTATATTATATATATTATATATATAAAATTATATCTATATTTTATATATATATATATATAATATAGTTAGATTTTATGGAGCTATAAAAGGACAATTTCGCTTTCACGATAGAAAAACTTTATGTGGAGCTTCGTTATGTCGCTTTTACGAAAATGAAACTATTCCGGGAGAAGAATTCGCGATTGCAATTTAGTTATACATTATTTGGCAAGTTTCTAAGGACAGTCTTCTAAAGATACTATCATTCGTCTTCTTGCAGTCGAGTGAATGGAATTGGATACCGTAAATGCGTACAGTACCGTCGGGATGGAGCAGGGATTGTCTGGGGATCCATGGGACTGCCTGTTTAGTGACAGCATCTCCGACGCCTTCCAGGGTCGTCCAGAGATGTTACATATGGGCATTCGGCGTTGCGATAATACGAGCCAAATCGGCTGGTTTGGTCCAGGCCTTGGCTTCGATTTCGACGACGTCTTGACGGAACCCGACGATGATCCGCTCACCTTCAATGACAAAAGCCGCAGTTCGAACAGGTAAAACGGATCCTCCGAATTTTCTATTTATAATGACGATGAAAAAGAGACGTTATTAGTGCCAGTAAACGTTGCTTAAACTTAAAAAAAAGAAAAGAATATATTAATACAGGATTTCAAAATATTTTAATATTTATTAATAAGACTCGAAAATTCACTTGAAAAGTTGAATTAAGAAAAGCTCAATTTTAATTAATTTTATAGAAAATTTTAAAAGCGCATGATAAACAAAATGTCAGCTAATTATTGTATCACTTATGGAAAGCAATAATAATTGTGTCGTACATGTGCGCGATTACATACATTGCCAACTTTCCATAAACGACGTAGTAATCGATCAACACTTTTGGTCTTCTATTTAGTAACAAATATCGTTTTATCTTTGTTATTCATTAAATGTCAAGAAAGATAGACTGATGTTTGTCATTAAATGGATGGAAAATACCCTTTATCTATCATGTGCTCTTACCCTAACATTTTGTCTGTGTTCTATAGCAACCTGGAAGAATTGAATCTGGACAGCGACAGCGAACTGGCTTTGACGTTAGATCCGAATTTGATACTGCCGTGTAACATGCCTATCCGCAGCCCCGCGACAAATAGCGACGCAGCGATGCTGGAGACAGCGAGCGTGGAGGAGAACGCTGTTGAAAACGAGGGAGATGAGACGGAGAACGAAAGTGAGGTCGAGCGAACCGAAAACGATGAAGAGAATGAAAGCGAGGAGGAAGAAGAGATCGAAGTTGAGGATAACGAGCATAATGAGACAGAGTACGAAACGGAGGAAGAAGAAACAGAAGAGGAAGAGGTAGAGGAAGACGAGGAGACGGATGATGAGGAGCAGGACATGACTCAAAAGTCGCTCACACCCTTGAGTGTGGAGGTGCCGATATCGTCGTCGTCGGGCAACGTCGTCAGCGCCAGGACGTTAACCAGTGCTAACATAGCTACCTCCTCGCCGACGATACAACTGACGAGGTTGCACCATCCTAAAATAACCACCATATCAAGCACAGCCAAGGATATCAAGATGCTGCAAACTAATCCAAGCGTCCAGGCGTTGCAACAGATTCGCAAACACATGTCCTACAATAATAATTTGCACGACGTCAGTACAGGTGCGACGACGACGGTCATGATACAGGCGGCAAAGCGTGAAAAGGAGTTAACGTCGGGGAACCGTGACAACTCTTATCCGAAACCCGGGTACTCGTACTCGTGTCTCATCGCGATGGCACTGAAGAATAGCCGAACAGGATCGCTGCCAGTCTCAGAAATCTACAATTTCATGTGGTAAGTGCTCTTAAATTTATTAATACAGAAAAACACATTAGATATTTAATCAACATTTCTAAATTGCTAGATAATTGAATGTTAAATTAATATTTAAATAATTTTTAGGAATGATAGAGACAAAAATTCCGTTTCGATTTAACCATTTTTCAAATGTGCGCTCCAAGTTAATATTTTGCTTATTACTTTGAAGATTTTTGTAACTGCAAATTACTATTTTTATTGTTTTATAATATCTAATTGTGATTTTCTTAAAAAATATCAGAAAGGAACTCATTTAATTTTGAATAAAATAATTTCGATCGAATTTTTTGAATACCTTCTTTAATAAATATTTTTTTCGAATGTTTTTTTCTCGAACTTTTGAAAATTGAAGCTGAAATATTTATTCTGAATTTGTTTGTTAATATATTATTCGTTATAGTTCGCAATGAGCGTGAGTCGTAAGAAATAATGTTTTTGGGATGAACAGCAAGGAACTTTTTACGTGATGAATAACGTGTCGTCCGTTTGCTTATTTTCGGCCATTTGGCCGGAAGGATAAAGGGACTGGCGAGGTCCCCTACTCTACGCTTAGGTATACGAGGGGCAAAAGTATTGTCTTTTCCCTCTTTATTCTCGAATCGGAAAGGGAGCTAAGCGAGAAGCTGCCATTTTGTACGGGGCCTCTGGAACAACCAGGGGCACGCCGGGGTACAGTCCCCCCTAGAAATCGACGGCAGGCTTCGCTCTCTTCGTTTACCACCTGCCTTCATTTCTTGTTGTTGCAACTCCATGCTTGTAAAATCGGTCATGCTCGTAAAATAACTGTCGTCCCTTGCAATCGTATTTCGTTTGAATTTTTTCCATCTCAAACAATGATGTTAAAATACGGTTAATTTACAGATTGTCTCGTTTTGCAAAATAACGAAAAAAAGCAATATTTCTCGAGAAAATGAAATTCGCTAGAATTTGATCTGAATATTATTAGAATCCTGATCAAATTAAATTCGATCGACCCATCAATTTTATATAAATTTAATTATCAATAAATTTAAGTGTCAATTACCAAGTAATTTTCTGACATCTAATATATTTCTTTTTTTTGCTAATGAAAATTCCGATTCGCGCAAATTTCATTTCCCATTTTCCCGTTTACCGTGAGGCACAATCTGTCGCTGAATAAATGTTTCGAGAAGATCGAGAAGCCACCCGGCAATGGTAGTCAGCGAAAGGGTTGCCTCTGGGCCATCCATCCGTCGAAAGTGGCCAAGATGGACGAGGAGGTGCGGAAATGGTCGAGAAAGGACCCGTCCGCGATCAAGCGAGCCATGGTGAATCCGGAACAGCTGGAGCTCCTCGAGCGGGGTGAGATGAAGTACGAGGGAGACAGGCACGACGAGGCATACGATGACGCAGAGAGCTACGCGGATTCTGAGACCGGTGGTTCCGTGGTAGACGAAGCCATCAACGACGACGAGAATGTTACGTATGATGAAACCAAGCAGATCGATATCGTCGACGACGATATCGTTGTGGAGCAGCTCTACGAGGATCTTGATCTCATGAATGCCACCGAGTTACTCGACACGCGACTAAACAACTTTTCTAGGCAAGAGCAGCCATTGGTGTACGAGTTCGTCTCGTGCTCGAAGCGCCAGAAAATGTTAACGGGCAACGATTTTATTTGTCAACCTGTCCAACGACAGGACGCGACGTCGCCCCGGAAAAAAGCGCATCTCGTGGCGTTACGACCCGGAGGCACCGCTCCTCCGGGTGCCGAATCCCTTCTCGAGGCGGATTGAATCCCTGGGACATTTATATGATCTCCTATTTAAATATATACACGCGGCCAAGTACACACCTTCTTTTTTTATTGCCAGACCATTGTAAATAATTGCGTCCTGTAACTTTTTTTACAGTCTGAGATTTTGTAAATACTTGTGTTTTATACGATGATGTACCTTTTTTATACAATGCGCTTGTACATAACTGTAATTTTTAAGTGTACAAATATCTGTACATATACAATGTATAAAGGCTATTTTTTTTTAGAACCATAATATGGGACCATCCTGTAGGCATGCGCATAGAAAAGTTTTCAAACACAAATAGTTATTCAATATTACTCTACGCATGTTCGCATATTTACAAAAAAATAGCCATAACAAGCAAGAAAAATTCCGAATCGATTAAATCCGACGATAGAAGGTGCTTACCCGGGGACGACTATTGTATATCACTAAATTAGCGATCGCCTAACATGTCTAATGGCGCCACAACAATTTTATAATAAACATTTTTTAATGACCCATTAACCTCTCGATCTTTTTATTTGCAACTCTCGAAAAATGTGGAACACAAATAATACGCGCCAGTTTCCACGTACCGTCCGCGATAGGAAACAAATTAACACGAAGCTCACGAATCGTCACTGCCAAGAATGGTCAAAGATAAAATAAGAATGGATTAACGTGTAGATTACGTAAGGATACGACACGCGATCTCATACCGATCTTTCGAGAACTATAACTCATTCAGTGCTACTCCTTTATGCGTGATTATTACGTAAAGTTTTTTGAGAATCTTTTTTTTATGAAATCGTATTTTTAGCTCGTGATGATTTTTTGTGTATTATATATATCGACTGATATTGCTAATTAACAGTAGGAAATCCCTAATTTATTGTAATTTTAATTGGTATCAATTTTTTACGTTGAGACAATTTCAGGATTCCAAATTTATATAAGGGAATGTTCGAATGCTATTATAGAATATGGATGAAGTTTCGATGATAATATTTTATTTTTCTTTCATATATTTTCGCATTTCAAACATTTTCAATAAATTCCTAATGGGCGAATCTAGTAGATTCCGAAAATTTCATCTATTACAACATGGATGAAGTTTTAACGATAACTTCTTTTTAATATCAAAAATTTTTGACAAATCAAATAGATAAATTTATCGTTGATTTCAAAAATTTCATTGTTGAGTTTTATGTTTTTGAAGACATGGACAAATCAACGATAATTTTTTTTTATATAAAATTTTTTTACAAGTTCAAATAAATTTGTCATAATTCATCAATTTAAAAAATTTCATTGTGTCATCTTTATTAATCCTTCATGGTCACACTGGGTTAAAATGACCCGAGCATTTTGTGAAAAATTTAATTTTAACACTAAAAAAAATCGTAAATGTGTATTAGAATTTAGCGTGAAAGACAATGTATATGTAACTTCAACGCTAAATTCTAATACATGTTTATGATTTTTTTTAGTGTTAAAATTAAATTTTTCACAAAAACGCCGCTGTTCCATTTTCTTAAAGGATGAAATTATGTACTGTATTTTTTTTAAATCATTGCAACTAATACTGTCGATTTGGTAACACTTTAAAGATAGTTCGGGTCATTTTAACCCAGAGTAATCATCGTATGGCTTTTTAGAAGTGTGACCATGAAGGGTTAAAACATAGACGAAATTTCAATGACAAATTATTTTTCCTTCTAGTGTTAAAAGTTTTCAATAAGTTTAAATAGATGAATTTGACGTAGATTTAAAAAATTTTATCATTGAGTTTTATCTTTATATAAACATGGATGAGGCTTCCACAATAAATTTTTTTTCTTTTATAATATTTTTTATGTCAAAAATGTTTAATAAATTCGAATTGGATTTGTCGTACATTTTAAGAATTTCATCGTCGAGGTTTCATCCGGTTACGATATGGCGTAATTGTACATTGTATTTATATGTATATCGTTCGCTGCGTTCGAACGTAATTTCATTCCACGCGAGCAAGACCAAGCTCTAACGCTTACAAGGCATTTAGATAAACAAATAGGTGGTTGTGAATGAAAGAGAAAGAGAAAGCGAGCGAGAGTGGTAGTATAAGATAGCAGTTAAATTAAAGTAGCGTAGTTTTTGTACCTGTTTGTAATATTTCTATATAACGTTAATGAGTGTGTAACTTTCGTGTAAAATGCACGAAATTAATGCGTAAAAATTGTATAATGTGCAATGACTGCAACTTTGTAATAAAATATTGATAAGCGTACTTCGCGTCTCGAATTCGTTGTTGCGTTCGTTATATCGAGTCCAATTAACATCGCGATGATCATCGATAAGCTCCTTTTTCAATTTTTTTTTACATGTATACATGCGGATAATGAATTTACACGATTCGGTTGCGTTAAATATTCCAAGTATTTTTTTCTCGCTAAATGTTTAGCTTCACGATTGCGGACGGGCCCCCGGAACATCCATCCTGCTTACGTAATCTGGCGTGAAGAAAAAAAAAGAGGAAAAGGGAGGAAAGAAACAGAGAGAGAGAGAGAGAGAGAGAGACAGAGTGAGAGAGACGAGGGTTGACACACCGTTCTCGCATCTGCGTGCATGCGTTTATCGATACGCAACCGCCGCGGACGCGTGTCGTCCGCATGTCGATTACATACGATCGGCGATAACCAGTTTACGCGCGTACACGCCGCGTCGATGGGGCCCTCGTCTATTGAAACGGGCCGCGTGCGATTCATATTCGGTTCGCCTGGAAGAGCGAGAGAGAACGAAGAGAGAGAGAGAGAGAGAGAGAGAGCGAGCGAGATGGCCTTCCGCCAATGGAACCGGTTTCTCAGTCGAGCTCAGATCACAAAGAACTCGGCCGCGCTCACGCGAGTTCGCCACCGCGCCGGAGCCCTCGGTTGCGGCCCCGACTTCGGGCCTCGTTGCCCCGACAATTTTCACTGATGTTTACATTTCTATCATTGTAACTTGGTTTTAATTTCGGTTCAAATCACTTTTTATCTTTTTATAATTCTACGGATATTTCAATTAAAAAATGATATTTTCCTAATTCTGAGAATTAGAAAATTGTATATTTTTTAATTTCAAAAATTAGAAATTTGTGAATTAAAGAATTATGTAAATTTGAAATCTTGCAATTTTTCTAATTCCAACAATTAGAAAAAGATAGAGCAAATTAAACCGAGATTGAAGTTAATTTTTTAGTCAATTAATTTTAACAGATCGATGTTCATTTTTACCAATGTAGATTTAATTTACTCTTCGAATTTTTTGGGGTGGAATCTCACTTCAAAAAGTGCAAATTGGGCGAGTCTTGAAAGAGTGACTCAATTTTCAATCTTTAAGAGTGAGATTTCACTCTATACGGAGTAAGATTCAATCTTACAATTTTAGAAAATATTCTTTATACTTTTCTGATTATCGGATATAGAAAAAGTAGGTTCTCAACCAAGATTAAATTTAATCTACATTGGTAGAAACAGGCATAATTTCTATACATTTGTAAAAATGAAGACATGAGACAATTTTCCTTCAATCGGATTGTCTCGTGAACCGGTGAAATCGAAGGAGACTCGCTCGCCGTTCCCATTCTAAATCGTAGATCGGAAAACGAATAAAGAGGAAGGATTAAGATGCACCTTCCACAAGAACTAGCTGACCCGTTCCGTTCGGTCGTCCGCACAAAGGCGATCCTTCGTGCGTTCGGCCGCGCGGGAATTCGCGCATATACATTCTGATACATTCCGAGTGTACGGCCTGCCCCTTTTGCCTTCCCCTCCCACCATCACTTCTGTATTTATCAGTTGCATCGTGCATCGCGGTGCATCGCCGCGGACGTTTCGTCAGGTGTTTCGAGCACTCAACCGAGGCACGCGATCAGGATCGGTTTATGGCCGCGAGGAGCCCCGGGATAGAGATCCTTAAATAAAAGATTGAACATCGTTTCGATGTTATCTTCTGATTGATCTGTGATATTTTTTAGGACTTGTTGAAGATAAAATGAGATAGATGTATAAGATAGGAGATGGATATCATTTTATCTTATGCATAATCTATCCCATTTTATCTTAAGCAGGTTTTGAAAAATATGACTGACCAAAAGTATGATATTCAATCTCTTGAGGCTCGAAAAAAAGAGAGACGAAATTTCTGACCATTTATTTTCTAAGATTTATAAGAATGAGGAATGTTTCGATCAATAAAGAGACATTCGACGACAGTCTCGGTAATTTCGTCGGGTTCCAAAACTCCCGTTGAAAAAGAAAGAAAAGACAAAAAAAAGAAAATCCATAATGGAGGCTTTCCTGCCACGTTCGAAAGCAAGTTCGCTAGTTTGTTGACTCCCATCACCGTCGATGCTACGGTCCTGATCGATACGGCCGATTCCCGCCGATTATCCGGGCGCGACGCTTCGAAAATCCTCCCCACGCTTAGGCCCTGCGCACAATAGAGGAAATACTAGGAACAGGAATAGATACTAAGATTTTAACCTATCGGATACCAGTTACACCGGAATACACGGTTTCTGATAGGTTGAAATCTTAATATCTATTCCTGTTCCTAATATCCCATACAGCACAGAATTTATAGCGATATCGCTGCAAAATCTCTGCAATACTGCTGCAACATGCAATGTTGCTGCAATATTGCAGCAGTGTTGCTGCAACTTATGTGCAATTTTGTGCTGTAGGGGATTTCCTCTATTGTGCGCAGGGCTTTATAGTCGGGTTCTTATCGCTGCTGTGTTACAAGCGCAATGAGAGTGCAATTAAAGCACTGCGTGGCAAGGCCGGATCCGGCCGGATAGATACGATACGTGCGCGTGACCTCGTGCCGATGCGTGCGTGCGTACGGAGATGCGAATGAAAGAGAGATAACACGTATCGAGAGAGAAAGAGAGAGAAGATCTTGAACCCACAACCGGCTTGTGGGTGTGACTGACTCATAGTACTATTACTATACTACAGTCGATGCTCGCGTATTCGTAGTACGATATTTCTCCCCCTCCTCCTCCTTCCTTTCTACTTTCCTTTGGAGCTTCTTCCCCCCCCCCTCTTTTCTCGCTCGCTCGCCCTTTCTCGTTTTCTCTTCTTTCTCTCTCGTTCTCTCTTCCCCTCTTTTTCTCATTTTCTCCCTCTCTCATTCCTTCTCTCTCATTCTTCATTCCTTTCTCTCTCTTTTCTCATTTTCTTTCTCTTTCTTTCTATTTTTTCGTCTCCGTTTAATCCTTTCTCTTTATCGCGCAATTTCCAGTCGGGAAACGAGATCCCGACAACGCACAGTTAAAAGGTTACACGAATATGCGCACGTGTTCCCTATGCCGTAAATTCTGTAAAATCTAATTTTTTACCATTACTGGAACGTGAAATGGATTTCCGCGAATTGATAAAAAATAAATAATCTAATATGGCTTCCCATAACGTTCAATTCTCGTCCCGTCTCTTGATTCTCCCGTCCAGCTGCGTGTCGCTTTCACGACACGCCATGTGTACAACGTCCCGACACGATGCCTGTATTACGTTATACGTTGACTTATCAGCTGTATCATAAGGGAAGGAAGAGCGAGTAACTTGAACCTGCATCGCACTGCACTCTTCCACGATGCAGTCATGCAAGCCAAGTTGCGCTGCTATATTAATGACTTTCCCAGCAACGTTAAGTAAGAATAATCAAGCATAAAGCGAATCGCGAAAATGAATTGTCCGATCTAGCTTTGTTTTTTCTATTTTTTCCCATTTTCTATTTTTTTTTCCA